GGGAGGAGGAGGAGGAGGAAAGGGAGGAGGAGGAGGAGGACCTCCCCCGTCCTACCCATGGTGCATAGTGGTGGTGGAACAGTGGCCCATCAACCCCCGTGTCCACGGGGGGAGGTCGAAGCGGGAGATGGGGCCCCCTGCTCCCCGTGGTGGGACCCTACGAAGGCTCAATCAAGCTCTGATGCAAGTCCATTATTGAAGGGGCCCCAGGACACACAAATAAATACACACAAATAAAAGGATTCCCCATATTTTCCCATATTTTCTGGGTTTCTGTCTTCCCCCCACTTGCCATATTTTCCCATTTTTCCTGGGGGTCGACGATTAATTGTGTCTATGTTTTTTTTCCCTCCTGATGCAAGTCCATTAGATCTGGGCACAACTTGCACAGCATCCTGGTCGGGCTCGATCCACCTCTCATGGAATATCCCACCGTAGCGGAATCCATCTCTAACCGGATCCTGCTCGGGCTCGGTCGAGCTCGCATGGGATCCTAAATCAGCTAAGAAGTTTCAATCATCCTAGCCGGGCTCGGTCCAACTCTTACAGAATCCAGACATCGCTGAATCAAGCTCTAGTTGAGTCCTACCAAGGCTCCAACCATCTCACATACAATCCTTCTATAGCTGGATCCAGCTCTGCTACAGTCCTATGGAATAAAAGCTCGATCCATTTCTGCTGGAATCTTACTGGGGCTCGATCAAGCCTGAATCACATCCTACTGAGGTTCGATCGTCGTTGTCGTCGTCGCCGTCGTGGTCGTCGTCGTCGTCGTTGTAGTTGTCATCGTCGCTCGTCGTCGTCGTCGTCGTCGTCGACGTCGTCATCGTCGCCGTCTTCGTCGTCGTCGTCACCGTCGTCGTCATCGTCATCGTCGCTTGTCGTCGCCGTCGTCGTCGTCGACGTCGTCATCGTCGCCGTTCTCGTCGGCGTCGTCGCCGTCGTCGTCGCCGCCGTCGTCGTCGTCGTCGTCGTCGTCGTCGTCGTCATCGTCGTCGTCGTGGCCCGACGGCGCCGGCGCAGGTGCCGGCGCTCGGCCGTCGTCAGCTCCCACTGGAGAGGGGGAACGCGCCATCGCTCGGCCGTCCCTTCCCCGTGTATTTGTAGCTTTCGTGCGTGTACTGTCTCGAAAGATGACCCGAGATGCTCCTCGACGGTCCCCGCCGAGAAGAAAGAGAGACGTCCGAGCGATGCCAAGCCCCCCTGCAATTCAGGGCCCCCCGCCCCCTCCCTGGTTCGACCCCTCCTATTCCATTTCAGGCACCACCCTCCTCCTCCTCCTCCTCCTCCTCCTCCTCCTCCTCCTCCTCCTCCTCCTCCTCCTCCCCCTCCTGGTTCGACCCCCACTTCCCAGCGTCCACAGGACGTGCTCCCTCCGACATGTCTCCAAGGCCAACAGGAATGGTCCAGGGGAGCCCAAGAGGGCCCAAAAAGCGCCCGGGAGGCCGTTGAGATGGCCCAGCAGGCCTCCAAGAGGTCCTCCAAGACGACCCGAAGAGGCCACAATCAGTGATTTTCCTCAAGTGTTTGAAGGATTGGGGCATTTGCTTCAAAACGGCCTTCCGACGGCCCAAGGGGTCCCTAAGAAGATCGCATAAGAGGCCCCCACGATGGCCCCAGAACAGAAACTCCCAAGACGGCCCCCGAAGGACCTCAAGACGGCACAAGAAGCCTCCAAGACGCCCAAGATGGCCTTTCAGACGATCCTGAAGCGCCCCAAAAGGGCCCCAAGAGGACTGAGAGAGGCTCCCAAGACGGCTTCCAACTGCGTCAGACGGGCCAGGAACGCCGTAAGACGACCAAAGAGGCCCAAAAGAAGCCCCCAAATGCCCCTTCGAGGCCCAAGGGCCCAAGAGGCCTCCAAGAGGCCCCCAGGAAGCTCCAAATTCGCAAGAAGCTCCCAACAGGTCTCCTCGTCCTTCTCCTTATGCTCCTTCTACCTCCTTCTCCTCATTCTCCTTTTCCTCCCCCCCGTGTTTCCCGAAGGGCTTCCACGACGGCTGGGAGAACGCATGGTCCAATAGCGTAGCCAAACTCTGCCCAAACGTTTGGCCACATAGGCGTATCCCAACCATCAGGGGGCGGCGTTGTTTCACCATAGGCGTCTTCGACACATATATTTATAGGTGTATGTACATCTACACATATATATATATATGTGTATTCCCTGGGGGCTCAGCTGCAAGACCCAACTAAATCAAAGACCCTGTCTTATCAGCAGAACTCAGATACGAACAACATCCAACACACCAGTACGCCCCCCGGCCAACAACACCAAAACCACTTTCGCAGACCGCCCGCTGGACAACCACCATATCGTAGCCAGAGACGGCCAGAGCGATGAGAGGCCGCCAGCGCGAGGATGACTTATGGCATATCGGTGCCGATGGGCAGGGTGCGCCCTCAGCTGGAATGGCAAAGTGGCGCTGGCTTTGGCGGGTGCACCTGAGATGCTGTTCAGGTAAGCAGAAAGCCTGCGCGTCCTGAGCAAGCACGCTGTCCTCGCACCCGCCCTCGTCGCTGCCCTCCTCCCCCCCCCTCCACATTCTGCTCCTCGTGCCCCTCCTCTCCCCCCTCCCCCTCCAGCCTCTTCCCCTTCTCCCTCCCCCCTCCCTCCCCCCCTCCCCCTCCTCCTCCCTCTCCCCCCTCCCCCCCCCCTACCTCCTCCTCCCTCATCCCCTCTCCCCCCCCATTCCTCCCTCCCCTTACTCTCTTTCCCCCCCCCCCCCCCCTCCCCCCCCCCCCCCCCTCTCCCCCCACCTCCCACTCATCCCCCCTCTCCCCCCTCCTCCCCCCTCCCCCGGCGGTAGCCTGCGGCCCGCTCGCAGGCCCGCCCCTAAATCCAGCAGCGGGCCTCGCCAAGCGGACGGACGAGCGCAGAGGTCGCCGCCTTGGCGGTCGGTCGCCCCGTCGCGTTGGTCGCGTTGGTCGTCTTGTTCGCGCTGCTCGGCGGTCCGCTGACTCCGCTCGCCGTCTCGTCGACCTCCCCTCCCCGCTGCTGGGCGCGCGGCTCTGCAGTCCTCACTTCCCTGCCTCCTCCTCCCTCTCCGCGTCGCCGCTTCCGGGGAGCAGCTCGGGCCGCCCAGGAGGCCCTGCGAGATCCCCCCCGCGCCCCCTCCGCTCACGCCACCCATTTTGGTGAGCGTGGCGCAGAAGGGCAGCACGCGGGGACAGGGCCGACTCGGGCAGATTATCTGCAGCACGTGCCGTTTGCATGCGCACTCCCTCGCCCCGCACCAATGAAGCTGGTGTGTATATATATATATATATCACAATGCTAAGTGGGCAGATTTTCTCCGCTGGAAGAGATACCGACGCCTGCACAACAGAACACAGAGTTTGTGGTGGCCATCGGTACTGGCAGATGGGTCGACGACGCCGACGTGACCCAGTGCCAACTCCCCCACCACAAGTGCGTCCAGATGGGTTCGCGGAAAGCGAGGGACAACTCGCGCGGCGTGGGCAACCTTTTTTTCAGCAAACGCATGTACGGCACGCTCCAGCAGGTCGCCGTGCCGCCACCGCACATGATCATCACAGCCAGAGTTGGCATGGCGAGGTTCTCACTGGGTGGCACATCCATGGCGATCCTTCCGATCTACATCCCGCCCAAGGGCATGGCCGCCAACCTGCTGCGCAACGTCACCAAACAGAAACTTGGATGGATCGCAACGGAGATTGACAGAATAGGCCACGCGTGCATGGGGTCGTGGCGGGCGACTGTAAATGGAATTTCGAAGTGCAAACGGAATTCACAGGACGTCAATTCAGCAGGGAAGACGAGCAGATTGGAACAGCAGAAATGGCATTGGAATCGAACGTTTCAAAGCAAGCACGGGAGTTCTTGGAAGAGAACCACCTCCGAATGTTTGACACATCTGGGAAAACGGTGCCAACGTACTACCAAGGGCAACACACTAGCACTATCAAACACGTGGCAGAGCCCGCAGTGATGAGCGAGAGGATCATGCGCCTTAACACCTTGGACCGGCTTGGGAAGAACTTGCAGAGACTTGGAACACTTACCTACATGACTACGTACCAACACTGGCGGAATTCGACGTGCAAATGCAGAAATCCCTACTTGAGACCTACGCACCAGCGGCGAACCGCGACGTCGATGAAGGCATACAGCACGGCGATATCGTAGACCTGATTTCCTGAAAGAAGTGGAAGGCGGAGGACGACATCCCCGAGACCGAATGGAAATAGATATGGGACCCCGGTGACGTGCAGGAAGCGTGGAATCAATTATCAGAAGGCATCCGAGAGGCCATGCAGAAGGTCAACCCGCCGAACGTGAACAACGTAGTGGACTACGACAGTGTCAGACAGCGGCGCGTGGAGCTACTGGCGCTACAAGGACGGCTCCGCGAGCGACTACACGAGGCTGGCACAAGATAGAGTTTGAAAACACTGGGTCGACAGTCTTCGACGACACGGAAGCGGAGCTGCAGTCAGTATCCCGGCGGCTCCAAGGTCTTCGGCGCCAGCAGGAGAAACGTCGACGAGATCAGCATCGCGTGGCGGCAGCGGCGACACGCAGAGGTACACAGGTTGCGAGTCACGTTGGCAGGACGGGTTCGTGGGCCTAAGATGAAGGGGCTCTGGGACACACACACACACACACATACACAGGAATAACTACAAATAACCAGATTCCCAACATTTCCCCATGCCTTTTGGGTTTTTGTCTTCCCCACCACTTCCTATATTTTCCCATATTTTCTGGGGGATCGACGACTAATTGTGTCTGTGTGTTTTCTCACATCCTGATAAGAAGCGTTTCCTGGTCGCACCAATGCAGGAGATGACGCAACGAGAATGGAGAGGAGAAGGACTATCACCAACACCCGAGCTTGGAGGAACGGACTGCAGACAGATTTCGTGGGACGCATGGGTTGACGATCGAACTTTCTCTTGCCAGACCTTTTCGGACGATAAGGGTATCAAAAATGGCATTCGGCAGGGCAAAGCAGGTCAGAGCACCTGTCTTCGAAAGGCGCCAAGGAAGACAGTCGGGCCGTCTTGGGGAGTACTTGCCGAAGCCGTTTGCATGCGCACGATAATTAAAGGCACATCGACGAGCATGTGTCCCACTTTCGGCAATTCGATCACAGGTTTCGCCCAGTCCAAAAAAACAAATTTACATAAGGAATCACACGACAGCGTGTGCTTCATTATTTCGATGCTTTTGGAATGCTTTTTTCTTTTGTCGTCAAGAAAACTCTCGGAGACCTACCTTGCCAGATTTCGCACACGGAGGACTACGAGGACGGAGAAGAGGAGGCAATTGAAGTCTTTCAGCAATTTGCTGGCGATGCCGTGCTGCACCAATAAATCACAGCATTCCTCACGAACTTTTGCGCCTTCGCCTTTTGAGCTGGCTGGACAGAACAAACAACATCCTCCGCCACTTCCAGGACCCCGACGTTGGCAAAGTTCTTGGGACAATGCACGTGGGGAGTCTCAGGCCACGTCTCAGCGACGAGGGCACCAAAAGACGAAACATAGCATTACAACATCTAGGACTTCCAGAGGTGACGGAAGCAGAAGCCACCAGGATGGGTATACTAAGGTGGCGAGCGAGAACTGATTGTACAACAGCATGCGGCCTCGCACAACGCACGCCACACATGCTCACAAACTGTGGAACATCGATTCGGTATTGGTAATTACTAGTGTATATCCTTGGTGCAGGACAGCATGTGCGAACTGGGCGTCTTGTCTGAGACACGGTCGCACCATGTCGCAGCGTACCCCGGCTTCTTGCCCTGCACGTGCTACGTTATTTGACACTCGGCCCGAGGCACTACTAGTGTATTACTGCGGCCCATGCGGTCGTGAATCGATGGCGCGCCTGGGGGAGAAGTGAGAAGGGGCGGAACTTCTGAGAAGGCTCGGAAGTCCCCCACCCAGCCTTCTGAAAAATTGTCTAGGCCTTCCCCGAAGGCGCAGGAAACCTCTCAGAAGGCCTGGGGCCTTCTGAGAAGCCCCACAGCCTCCTGAGAGGGCCTTCTCCTTCTCACTGCCCCTCCTCGCTCGCCGCCGAGTGAAGAGAACGAACCTGATGCACACCTCAAACACGTTCGGGCTCACGCCAGCGGCCCTAGAAATGGCGTGGTGAGCAGGAGCGGGCGGAAGCCGCGGGCCGAGATCTGGGATACCAGCGATGGACGCATCGGCAGAGGGACAGCAACGCCCTCAACGATGGCAGATCGAATGGACCAAACAACATGGGGATGGGGGAAGAGATGGTCGTGATCGAGACAACGAGCCGGAACAACGCACAGATGATGCTGCAACTGTCGAGCAGCTTGTGGGGCTTCTTCCTGATGGAGGGGGGCAACACTGGCGTGGACGCGGGCGTGGTGCAAAGGAAGACCTGTGCGGACAAGGTGAAAGGCGGCCAGGGCAACACGGGCTCGCCCCACCTCCACATAGGCGCGGCGTCCTTCCTGGAGCTGGCCACTCTGGATACGACGCCGCAGCTGTGCCAAGAGACCATCGAGCACTTGGCCATGCAGTAGAAACTGAACCACAAGAAACCTCCCACGAGAAACCCAGCCCCGAGACCCCAGGACGTCCATCGATTTTTGGTGTTGCAGAATCACGCTTTCCATAGCAAGAACATCGAAACCCACGAAACCCAGGGCATCCTGGAGGCAAGCAAGGTGTTTCTTGGCGTGGGCTTCCGCTGTGGTCCTCAGCGTCATCAGACTGGACTTCTTCGGCGACGTCCTTCCATACCCATCGGTCGGAAGAAGTAGGTAGAAACATGAAGTAGGAAGGCGTTGAAAGTAGATTGGGTCTCCGCCCGCCCCCTGAAGAGGATTGAAGATGGGGAAGCCATTCGATCATTGAAGTAGGAAGGCGCTTAAAGTAGATTGAAGTCTGGGAATCCAAAAATACCTACTTTCGACGACCGATGGGCACTTCAAGGCGGGGCAGGGCTTCCACGGGCAGACCAGAGGCAGGGCTTCCACGGGCGAGGACCGAGGGGAACGACCAGAGGCAGCCACGAAGCGAGAGGGACGGGTGCCGAGGCGGGCCAGGCACCACGGCGGCAGCGCTCCTGGCCCCGCCGTCCCACGAACGGGGCTCTCAGGGCAGCGCGCCTCCTCCTCCTCCTCCTCCTCCTCCTCCTCGTCCGTACTCTTTCTTCGTCCTCCTCCTCTTCTTCTCTCCTCCCTTTCCCTTCCGTTCCTTCGAGATATGAGCCTGTGCGTGTGGAGCAGACGCCGTCCCGCTGCATCAATGTAGTGTTCCACCCACGAATGGCGTCAAACACCCCCCCCCCCTCCTCTGCGCCTCCTCATCTCCCTTCCTCCTCTACCTTCTTCCTCCTCGAGCAGCTTGCCCCCCGCAATCTCATCCCACCCCTCGCTCCTATTCGCTACTTGCCGTTCCCCCTTCAAGTCACCTCCCCCTTCTCCCTGCCCACCTGCCCAGGAGGAGAAGGTGGAGGAAAAGCAAGATTCTCGACGGTCGTCGAAGGCTTCGAGTGGCCCTGGGTGGCAGGATGGGTACGACGAGGACGAGAAGGGCGAGGGGATCGGGAGGGAAGGGGAGGGGATGGGGGGGGCGTCTAACCGCCTGGTCCCTGCCGGCTGCCTCTCCTGGTCGTCGCCCCCCCACGTCCTACCAACCATCTCCTGTGCCCCGTACTCAAGCATCCAGGGCCGGCAGTCTGGGCGCAAGCCCTTCGGGGCGAATCACGCAGACTGCACAAACGGTAGCTTCGCACCTCCAGGCCCTCGATACCTTGATTCGACCTTTTCCCAAGGACTGGCTTTTCGTCCCGGATCGTTTTGACGGTCCTGGCGCACCACGCTGAACGCCTGGCTCCTCAGCGACAAGCTGCAGCTTGAGACTGGTAGTCTCGCGGTCTTTGTCCGTCGAAATGTGCTTGTTTGTGCACACACCCGCGGTGGCTGCACAACCCATACAGCAGGAAACATGTATGTTACACGATTCCATTGAAAACTTGGAAGGTCCCAGGTTCGGTACGGCAAGTGGTCAGAAGACCATGAAGAGCAGGTCGTGGACTTCAGCACGGCCTCCACCAGTTACCACTTCACGCGAAAGATGGAACCGCCCTCGAACAACAAAGAAAGAGTTCGCCGAGTGGGTGGATGTGTGGACTCAGACGCCAGTGCGCCCAACTCTAGGTTCGCCACAAGCAGAATGAATGCAGGTCGTTGTTTTTGGCGTGCAGCGCCATTGATGCCACTTTCTCCATTTACAGAGATTTGAAACCGTAGCGTCTTAATTTGGTGTGGGGGGACAGAATTGCCACGCACAGGCAAAACGGAATTCAGTGGATTGGAATCTTTGAACGCAGAAAAAGCTTGTGCGAAAGGCCCCCCCGCCGGATAAAACAAGCGGCTTAGCGGCTTGCATTATGCTGTGGCGACCGCCAAATTCCCCGACATGCGCGAAGGCGAACGACATACGGTCTTCAAGTAACAGACGGCTTCTGGCCATCGGTGAATCTGGACACCATCGGCGCCTCGTCAAGTTGGGCGCTAGCCATCGCCAAATCTGAACGCCGCTTGCACCTTTTTCCAATACCACTGCTCGCCGTTGCGGAAGCCGTGTCTGAACCGTTGTTAAGACACAACAAACAACACATGCGAAGACGAGGAAGGGGAGGATGACAATCAGGAGAATGAGGAGGAGGAGGAGGAGGAGGAGGAGGAGGAGGAGGAGGAGGAGGAGGAGGAGGGGGGAGGATCTGAATAAGACGAGCTTCGGGTTTCATCGGCGAAGCGGGGGTGATCTCTCATCGAGGTATCTGGGTTCGAATGACGACTGCATCTGCGGTGAAGACTACAACTTCAGGGACTAAAAGGTACATGCGTAGAGAGGTCCCCAACGGAAACCCCAGGTTCCGTTCGGAACCTCGGTCTTCTCTAAGATCCGACGTTGCGCAAAACCTGCAGCGTCGCGACAAATCACGGCCCAAATCCCACACCCCATCGTTCTGCGCCATTTTCCGAGACGCCTCGATCTGTGAGGGCCCCGGGGCCCGAAGCCGGGCGGAAGCGCTCGGCGTCGTGGCAGCGCCTGGAGCTGAGGGCCTGCGATCCGCTGTCAGTCCGCATCCCCAGAACCCCGACGTCATGATTTCTTTTTGTTTTCATCATGTCGTCGACAAACAGAGGTCTCGACCCCTTCCCCAAGACCGGCGGTTCATCCTGAGTCGTTCTTGGACGCTTCCGAGGGCCGGTGAGGCCCCCCAGAGGCCGAACATAGCGAGAAACCTCCCGTCGTAGGGGCCTGGGCCCCTATCCCCTCGGGGCGCCCAAGCGCCACCGCTCCCCCGGCCGATGGCCTCGCCTCGCTCTGGGCGGCCCGCCGCCCCGCGCCCCTGCGCGCCGCTGCCGAGACGAGGGGCGGCGGGCGCCGGGCGGCTGGGACCGCTCGTCCGCGCGCGCGCCTGCCGCCACCAGATGCTCTCGCTCGCTGCTGCCCTCCGAAGGGCACGCGGGGCCACACGTTTCTGCTGTTGCCGGTCGGCGGCCGCAGCGGAGCAGCTTCCGGCGCGAGCAGGACGGGGGGAGAGACGAAAGGGCGACAAGCGCAGGGCAGAGGAGCGCAGCCCGGCGGCCCGACTCGAGAGCCGAGGCCGGTGTCCGCGGCGGCAGGTCCCAGGATCGGACAGGAGGCGGAGGGGGAGGAGGGGGGAGGGGGCAGGAGGAGGAGAAGGAGGAGGAGGAGGAGGCGGGGGAGGCGGAGGAGGAGAGGGAGGAGGGAGGGAGGGAGGGAGTGAGGGAGGGAGGGGGGAGGGAGGGAGGGAGGGAGAGGGAGGGAGGGAGGGAGGGGGGAGGGAGGGAGGAGGAGGAGAGAGGAGAGGAGGAGGAGGAGGAGGAGGAGGAGACGAGAGAGGAGGAGGAGGAGGAGGAGGAGGAGGAGGAGGAGGTGGAGTGGATGGATGGATGGATGGATGGATGGATGGATGGATGGATGGATGGATGGAGGGAGGGAGGGGGAGGGAGGGAGGGAGGAGGAGGAGGAGGAGGAGGAGGAGGAGGAGGAGGAGGAAGAGAACGAGTAGGTGGAGGAGGAGGAGGAGGAGGAGGAGGAGGGATGGATGGATGGATGGATGGATGGATGGATGGATGGATGGATGGATGGATGGATGGATGGATGGATGGAGGGAGCGAGGGAGGGAGGGAGGGAGGAGGAGGAGGAGGAGGAGGAGGCGAGAGCTGCGCGACAGTGCGCCGGGGACGGGGAGCCAAGATGAGGACAGGGGGGCAAGGGCACCGCCGCCCCGTCCGCCCGGAGCCCGTGAGAGTTTTTCTGTCTGCTGCCGGTGCCTCCAGCGGGCGGGCGCTCTCGCAGAGGCCCAGGCACGCTTTAGGTCGGGCCTGTCCCCTGCAAGAGGATTTTAGACGAAAAAATTTAATAGTCCAAATATATTCAAACAAATGCAAACAACACATAAAAACAATTCGTCCCCAGACTATTCTTAGACTATTTTTGAATATTCAGGGTAACAACCAACGCTGCGTTCCTTGGGTGTGCTGGACTGCGTGGGCAGCGGTGCCCCGCTCTGCCTCTCCTGCGCGCGCGTGCTTTGAAACTTGCCCGCGCCCCGCCCGGCCTCGTCTTTCACGGGGCGCACCAGGATCGTGGCCCCGACCTCGCGCAGGAGCAGTCTTGCAAGCGGGCGCATCCCGTTCCCGCTTCCAACTCTCCCTCCCCATTGTGCCTTTAGATCTGCTCTGTCACGTCACTTCCGCACACTCCCTCGATATTAGTTCAGTTGGCAGAATGTCTGAATCAGCTGGCATCTGAGGAGGCAGCCCTATTTCCAGGCAGCAACAGCAAATCCACGAGTTCAAGCATCGCGCTAGATGAGGAACAAACGCGTCTGGCTCGAGCAAGTATGCTGGTAATTTCCACATGACAGAGGACAAGGTGCAGAACCACACGAACATGGCAATCAAACCACTGAACAATCGATGTGAGGTGTAAAAAGACCGCGTAATCTCGTTCTAGAGGAGCTGCGAGAACAACCGGGTGGAAGCCGATGATCTCCTCCCCTCTCCCCAACCTCACGACGTGCGTTACAATGCGCAGCCCGTCTCGAAGTACCCTCCCTTATCAGCTCTGGCTACACTTGCTTCGACACCTTTCTCAACTTCTAGATCCGAACAAGGTGACCTCGTTGATAATTAGGACGCCCGAAACAGGTACGGAAAACAGCGGCACGAGAACCAGTGCAAAGGCCGCTGTTGGGCAGCCGGTTTTCTGTTTCAAAAGGACAGCATCCGCGGCCCCCCAGAAGGCCCAAGATGCATCCAAGATGGCCCAAGACGGCGCCAAGGACGGCTCCAAGAACCCACCCACATCCACACCCACACCCACACCCATACCAGCACCCACACCCACCCACACCCACACCCACACCCACACCCACACCCACACCTACACCCAATACCCCCATACCCCCCCCCACCCCCCGACCCCCCCCCCCCCCCCCCCCCTCCCCCCCCCCCCCCCCACCCCCCCCCCCCACCCACCCACCCACCCACACCCACCCACCCACCCACCCACCCACCCACCCACACCCACCCACCACCCACCCACCCACCCACCCACCACCCACACACACACACACACAAACACACACACAAACACACACACACACACACCACGCACACACACACACACCAACTCACCAGACGCCCACCCACACCCACACCCACCCCACCCCACAACACCCACACACACACAAACACACCCACACCCACCCACCCACCCCACACAGCAACACGCACACACACACAACCCCACACACCCCCAGTACCACCCCACACCACACACACCCACAACCCCAAACCCCAACACATACCACACCCACACCACCCACCACCCACCACACACGCACACCACGCACACTACGCACACACCACGCAACACACGCACACACCGCATCCACAAGCACACGCACACACGCACCACACGCACACACGAACACGCGCACACACGCACACACGCACACACGGCATCACGCACCACGCACACACGCATCCACAGCACCACGCACACACGCACACACGCACACACGCACACGTGCCACACCGCACACACGCACACACGCACAGGGTGGAACACACGCACACAACGCACACACGCACACACGCACACACGCACACACGCACACACGCACACACGCACACACGCACACACGCACACACGCACACACGCACACACGCACACACGCACACACGCACACACGCACACACGCACACACGCACCCACGCACACACGCACACACGCACGCACGCACGCACGCACGCACGCACGCACGCACGCACGCACGCACGCACGCACGCACGCACGCACGCACGCACGCACGCACGCACGCACGCACGCACGCACGCACGCACGCACGCACGCACGCACGCACGCACGCACGCACGCACGCACGCACGCACGCACGCACGCACGCACGCACGCGCACACGCGCACACGCGCACACGCACACACACACACACACATGCGCGCGCACACGCACACGCCCACGCACACGCACAAGCACACGCACACACGCACACATGCACGCACGCACACATGCACACACGCACACACAAACACACACAAACACACACGCAAACACACATACACACACACACGCACACGCACACGCACGCACATACGCACACACAAACGCACACGCGCACACACGCACACACACACACCAAACACACAACGAGCACACAACAACCACACAGCAAACACACACACACACAACACACGCAGCACACGCACACACACACACACACACGGCACACGCAACAAACACAATAAACACACAAACACACAAGCACACAAACACACAGACACACAAACACACGCAAACACACGCACACACGCACACACACACACACGCGCGCGCACATGCACACACACATACACACACACACGCGCACATCTACAAACATGTGGCGCTGCCAGACATTTGCACATACGTATGTGACATCGTCCCATGTTGTCCTCACTGTCCGTGCTATGAACGACTCAGACGGGTTGCTGTCCTCGCATTATCGCCTGTCGGATCCCTGCCGCTCCGCTAAAGGCCCCTCTGCACAGGGGGCCAACCGACAACGCGACAACTGCGGGCGAGACCTCGCGATGGAGGTCGGCCTGGGTTCAGCCCACGTGCAGACGCTGCAGAAAAGGGGGGGGCGTCAAGTAGGGACAACACCGCGTCCAGACACCTCCTCCTCAACCTCCTTCTCCTCGTCCCTTCTGCTGCTCCTCCACCCCGTGACATACAGTCATCGTGATATCTTGAGGAACGACAGATTAGGAGAGAAGAGGCTTTTCTGGCCACGGCAGCGAATGAGTCCCCCCGCCCAGATCTAAAATAACGACGGAAGCCAGAGACCCTCCTGGGCACACAGTGGTCATTCTTTCAGCGCGTTGGTTGTATAGCGGGGGCACGGAGTGGCGTCATGAGTTGCATCTGGTGGGTGATTCCAACCAATGGACGTAAATGGGCGCACTACCATATCACGTGCTTCTGGTGCACTGTAGCTCCAGAGCCATTTACTGTTGTGGGTGTATCCGTCAGGCGCTGGTCAATGTACCAAGCCGACCGCGGTTACAACCATGAATTCATGGAGCGGCCGAGCCAACTTCGACGGCATGCCTGACTCCAGTTTAACAGGGAGGGACTGAACATGTAGGTCATGCAGCAGTGGCCATACGCAGCCTCGAAATCAGAACTGCATACCCCGCCGATCGTGCCATTGCAGACCTGACGCGTTAAAATCCAATACGAGCACAGAGAAACTACAGTCGTCCTGCTCGATTCAGGCCTCCATGCGACATGCAACCGTCTCAATCACATGAAAAAGCTACGCTCCAGCGTGGCTTGTGTGTTCTGTTGACTTTGAAGCCCGTGGCGTTGTACTTAGCACCCCGCAATTGCGGATAAGAGTGAGGGGGCGGGCGCCGATTGCTGTTGTGGAATTAACGTGGGCCGGATCGGGGGAATGGCAGGAGGGCGCATTCCCAAACCAATGCGAGTAAGCCCGCCGCAGGCGCCGATTTGCATGCTCTGACAAGTTCAGCGCGGGGGGGATAGCTGGTGAGCCACCTGGAACGAATGCAAAAACAGCCCGCCGCAGGCCCCGAATCTTTGGCTTGTTCAGTGAACGTAGTTTGGGTCGCAGGTGGGTCGCGGGCTCTCCACCTCCACCTGGAAGGGATTCAAAAACAGCCCGCCGCAGGAGCCGAAAATTTTGAATTGTACATTGAACGCGGTTTGGGTCACAGGTTCTCCATCTGGAACGAATGCAAAAGAAACCCGCCGCATGCGCCGAAATTTTGGTTTGTTCAATTAACGTAGTTTGGGTCACGGGTCGGTCGCGGGCTTTCCACCTCCACCTGGAAGGAATTCAAAAACAGCCCGCCGCAGGTGCCGAACATTTTGATTTGTACACTGAACGCGGTTTGGGTCGCGAGTTCTCCACCTGGAACGAATGCAAAAGAAACCCGCCGCAGGCGCCGAAAATTTTGGGTGGGTCGCGGGGTGGGTCGCGGTGGGTCGCGGGTGGGTCGCTGTGGGTCGCGGGTGGGTCGCGGGTGGGTCGCGGGTGGTTCGCGGGGAGGGTCGCGGGTGGGTCTCGGGGTGGGTCGCCGGTGGGTCGCGGGTGGGTCGCCGATGCAAAAAAAACCCGCCGCAGGCGCCGAAGTTTTGGCTTGTTCAGTGAACGTAGTTTGGGTCGTGGGTGTGTCGCGGGCTCTCCACCTCCACCTGGAAAGAATTCAAAAACAGCCCGCCGCAAGCGCCGAAAATTTTGATTTGTACACCGAACGCGGTTTGGGTCGCGGGTGGGTCGCAAGTTCTCCACCTGGAACGAATGCAAAAGAAACCTGCCGCAGGCGCCGAAAATTTTGGGTGGGTCGCGGGGTGGGTCGCGGGTGGGTCGCGGGTGGGTCGCGGGTGGGTCGCGGGTGGGTCGCGGGTGGGTCGCGGGTGGGTCGCGGGTGGGTCGCGGGTGGGTCGCGGGTGGGTCGCGGGGTGGGCCGCCGGGGGGGTCTCGGGGTGGGTCGCGGGCGGGTTGCGGGGTGGGTCGCGGGCGGGTCGCGGGTGGGTCGCGGGGTGGTCGCGGGGTGGGTCGCGGGTGGGTCGCGGGGTGGGTCGCGGGTGGTTCGCGGGTGGGTCGCGGGCGGTTCGCGGGTGGGTCGCGGGGCGGGTCGCGGGTGGGACGACGACAACAACAAACAACAAACAACAAACACCAAACAACAAACAACAACCAACAAACAACAACCAACAACCAACAATCACAACAACAACAATAATAATAATCCGCGTCGCGGAATTACACTTCAACCACGCACCCAGGGACAGTGAATGACCGTTCGGTTCAGCCCCCTCCCTCTGATTTAATAAGCGAGCGGAGTCTGCAGTCCAAGTCTGGACACGACTGAACTCGGCGTGGACGTAGCCATGGATGTAGCAATACAATCCTTGCCGGAAAACAGGGCTGAGCTGCTTTCATTGCGCTGGTTATAGCTGCATGCATGCGCTGTCGAAGTCTGTGAAGCTGCTATGCACATTCGCTGTTCTGTAGGGCTTGTTGCCAATTGTGCTGGCTGGATATCGCAATTCCAGGTGTACTTGGGCGTTTTGAAAAACGATCGGATCAAGACGACATCAGGAACCATATGACTCAAAACATCTTTCGGTCGCAACACTGGCGGCCGCTCAACGCGGTCGGAGCGGCAAACCGGGACGCAGAAACACTCGCTCCAGACACGCTGCGCTCGAGAAACACCTGAACACACCGCGGTAGATCGACTTGGTGTATCGATCCTGGTGTGAACGTGTGGCAAGACCGTGCTTGTGGGAACGATGCCAGCGTGACTCGTTCCACGCCTTGGAAAGGAACGCTGGCAGCGGGCCAACCGGGCAGGGCGAAGTGAGGGTGGCCTTCTCGGAAGGCAGGGGATCGGTCCCTTGTCAACGGCCCTCACAAGAGGGCCTCTCTCGGAAGCGGAGTGCCGCCACAGAAGGCCGCCTCTCGCCCTGCCCCCCTGTGCACGCCGCCGAGACCTATCACGAACATGACCCGCTGCAGCGAGCACACTGGACGCCCAGATTATCCGGGACAGCTGCGATTCGGGGCAACTCCGGTTCGAGCCCCCGAGGCGCGTGTCTGCGAGTACCCCTGAGCGCCCCCGGCCCTGCTGATTCGGGAGGGTTGGACACCCGAAGCATCCTGGACAACTGCGGTCTAAGGTAACTCAGGTTCGGGCCCCCGGGGAACGAATCTGCAATTGCCCCCCGACCGCCCCCAGCCCTGAGGATCTGGGGCTCTGAGCACCCGGGACGCGGCCACTCTCCTCCTCCTCTTCCTCCTCCACCTCCTCCTCCTCCTCCCTCCTCCTCCCTCCCTCCTCCTGCTCCTCCTCCTCCTCATCATCATCATCATCATCATCCCTTCTCCTCCCTCCCTCCTCCTCTTCCTCCTCCTCCTCCTCCTCCTCCTCCTCCTCCTCCTCTCATCCTCCTCCCTCCTTCTCCTTCCTGGCCCGGCTGTTTGCCCGCCTCTGGGCCCCCCATCGCCGCCAAAGGCTTCCTTGGTCTCTGCCGCCGATCCGAGCTCGCTGTTGAACATCAGCGTGGACGTGACTTTCAGGCCGTGGATCGAGTCGAGGTAGATCTCTGTGGCACCGGCGGCTGCAGCCTGGCCGAGCTGCAGACGGCCTCCAAGACGCCCGAAGATTCCTCCAAGACCACTCCCAAGAAGACCCCCTACTCAGAGGCAATAATCAACGATGCCCACTGGTTTTTGAAGGTTTTGAGCCTTCTCGTCCGAACGTTCGCTCGTGGTCCGGCACAGAGAACTCCAAGCCTCGCGCGTGCACTTCGCCCTCCTTGCTCCCGCAGCCTCCGCACCTGTGGCATCGCTCCCCCGCGCCTTCCCCCGGATTCTTCCCTGGGCCCCCGTCTCCCCCTCTGCGCCCGCCTCATCCTCCTCCTCGTTCTTCTCCTCCTGTCACCGTGGGGGGGAGGGCCCCGCTCTCCCAACCACTCTGAGCTTGAAGAGCTGCGCGTCAAACATGCAGAGCGGCGGATTGGAGTGACCCGGGATCAGTCTTCGGGGACCTACTGGCCCGGGTCAATCCAGACCTGGGGCAGTCGGGCCATGCAGCATCGAGCAGGATCATGCTTGCACCCAAACCAGGGTCAGTGCACCCTTGGCCCTGCAGGATCTTGAAAGATCCGGCGCTCTGATTGACCCCCGTTTGCATGGACCACCGTCCCTCGAGCCCCGAAATCTACGTATCCCCTCATCTGCACTTGCGTTCTTCTCCTACTCTAGCACCCTCCTCATCCCCCTGTCCGTGCTGTCGCTCCTGCTCCTCCTCCTCCTCCTCCTCCTCCTCCTCCTCCTCCTCCTTCCTACTGCTCCCGCTGCTCGTCCACCAGCTCTTTCACCTCCTGAGGCTAAGCCAGGATGAGGATAACATCGGGTGAGGATAAATCGAGAATCTCTTAGATCTGGAGGCTCTGGAGGATGTCTCGGGCGCCGCGACCTTCTCAGAGCGTTGCCGAAAGCTCTGACAGCGTTCCGGCACGCTCTGGAACAGATTTATCGTCGTCCTAGCCCTGTCAGACCTCAACCCTCACCTCCTCCTCCTCCTCCTCCTCCTCCTCCTCCTCCTCCTCCTCCTCCTCCTCCACCACTTCCTCCACCTTCTCCTGCACCTTCGCCTTCTCTTCCTCCCCTCAACCATTTGTCGATCTGAATAGTCAGTTACTGTTCCCATCCCTCCCCCGAAGATGGCATCATTGGGAATAGCTCAACCCGCCTCCGCGTACTTTTGTTTAACACTAATTTTCAAACATTGGCCTCTGCTATATTTGTTCAATCCAGTCGCGTCTGGTACTTGAAAAGGGTGCTGCCACTGAAGCGTGGGCCTCATTTTCGGCGTTTTGCTACAGTCGTTCAGAACGGCACTCGATGCGGCGCCTTTTATCGTCGCGCGTCAAGCTGTCATATGTCAAGCGATTGCGTTGTTGTGCACCCGATTGCCCCCATGCCTGCGCGCCGTCCCCATGGAAGCGCTTGGCCGGCTCGGCCAAAGGCGCAGGATGCATGTTGTGCCGGTGTCCTGACATCGGGGTGCTATGGGCTTCGCGCTCATGTTTGTTTGGTATAGCTGTCGCAATTGTGGCGTTAGCTTGAGACGGCCATCCCAGTACCGGGTCGAGTGGGATTTCTGGCCCTGTCCAGCGAGGGGGTTCGCGCCACCTTCAGGGCTGATTCCAAGGTCGTCGCTGCTACCCTACAGCATCACAACAGTACTAAGTCTCAGGTGCAACTGCTTGAAATTACATAAAAGAGGAAATCATCTAGGAAGGCGCCCCCAACTCCCCCAGACCCCCAGACCCGTGCTCCCCCAGAAATGGCTGGTCTGACTCGCGGCAGCGAGCGCTTCGCGCGGGTACGTTTGTGCCAAACCGATTCGCTGAATCATGTGCGGACAGCCGTGATGGCGACTGTCGCGTGGGGCCGACGCAGCTAGGGGGCCTCGCAACTGCACTCAAAGATCCCTGAGCCCTGACGGCAGCAGAGGGAGGGAGTACGATGAGGGAGTGCGATGAGGTAGTGCGATTGTGAAGTGTAGTGGGCACCGCTGCGGACGCATGTGAAGAGGCCCTGGGACACACAAATAAATACACACGAATAAAAATATTGACCATATTTTCCTATATTTTCTAGGTTTTTATATTCCCCCCCACTTCCCATATTTTCCCATATTTTCTGGGGAATCGAATATTAATTTTGTCTGTGTTTTTTTTTCCCCCTCCTGAGCATGTTCGGTAGCTGGCTTCTAGAGACCACTTGGTTCTCGGGACCTTCGACCGTTGAAGCGAATGGCCGGCTCGGTTAAGGACTTCCGGGGCTAAGCCAAGCCCCATTGTGCTTTGGTCGAGGCATCCTTCACCTGTGGAGGTCATCCGCCCGTGGAAACACCTCGAAGGGAATGCAATCCCTGATCGACGACCGCCCCCCCCCCCCACACTCAGTGCAGAGCCAAACCTGAAGGGCAAGGCGAAGAAGGAGGTTAGGGGGCAAACAAACCTACCTCGCTTTTGACCACCCTCGCTCCCAAGAGATACCAAGCGATGCCAAACTACGGCCAGCCTGTACTGGTCAGGCCGCTTGACGAGGAGGCGCGTGGTATGACTTGGTTTTGTCTGGAAGCGAAAGCGGGGTAGGTAATTCACGCTCTGAGAGGTGGAGAAGTGAGGCCCTCCCAGAGGCCCCCGCTGCACGCCGCCGGTGCCGAGGCCGCAGGCCGCCTGCGTCAGGTGCAGCTCGGAGGCTCGGGCGCCCTGCGGTGGGGTCGGCGACGTCGTCGTCGTCGACGTCGTCGTCCTCGTCGTTGTCGTCGTCGTTGTCGTTGTCGCCTTCGTTTTCGTCGTCGTCGTCGCCGTCGTCGTCGTCGTCGTCGTCGGTGTGGTCGTCATCGGTGTGGGGGTGGTGGTCGTCGCCGTCGTCGCCGCCGCCGTCGTGGGCGTCGTCGGCGTCGTCATCGTCTCCGTCGCCGTTGCCGCCGTCGTCGCCGCGGAAGGTGGCGTCAAGAACTTGTGGATAACGTGTCGCGACACGCTTTCCCATAGGAGCGGATGGCGTGTCGCTCCGTTCCGCCAGGCGTGGATAGCGGGGACCAGGACGTGGATAGCGTGCCACGCCGAAGCGCGATGGGCCAGAACCAGCGGAGCGACACGCTATCTAACAGTTCCCGACCGTAGACACATCTTCATTGCTTGATCGTTGATCGTTGATCCAAGGTAATGCAGTTCGGGCGGTGTTGGCCCTCCTCCTCCTCCTCCTCCTCCTCGGCTTGCCCCCCTCCTCCTCCTCCTCCCCCTCCTCCTCTTTCTCCTCCTCCTCCTCCTCCTCCTCTTCCTCCTCCTCCTCCTCCCCGTCCTACTCCTCCTCCTCCTCCTTTTCATGTCCCTTTCCCTGCGGCTGCTGGTCGGCTCCTGCCTGCCCTCGTTCTCCCCTTCCTCTATTCTTCTTCCTCACAAATCTTTCCTCCCCGTCTCACCCCGAAGCGCGCGTCGGTAGGGCGGGCTGGGCGTGTCGGTGGGAACTTCCTCACCGCTTGTGATCCTTGAGCGGGTGGAGGCGGGTGGCTTTCAAAATGCGGTGCTCTCGCCGTAGCGCCGCGCGCCCTCGTCTAAAAAAGCGCAAGCTGGAAGGCGGGTGGTTTTCAAGATGTGATTCTCGCCTGAGCGCCGCGCACACTCAGTGTCCAACATTACAATATATTCATGGATGGAGGGCGGGTGGTTTTCAGAATGTGGCTCTCGCCGGAACGCCTCGCACATTCATTTCAAAATATCGCAAGAGTTTCACGGAACGCGGGCGGGCCGTTGCCATAAGGTGGCTCTCGCCTTAGCGCGGGTGGTTTTCACGGTGCGGTTTCCGCCGTAGCGCCGCGCTCATTTGTCTTCAAAATTTGCAAGAGCTTCATGGGGGAAGGGCGGGTGGTTTTCTACATGTGTGTTTCACCCATAGCGCTGCGTACATCCGCTTTAAAAGCTTACAACCGTTACGTTGCTTTAGGTGCTGGCATCCAAGAACTGGTGTGCTGGCATGATTCAAGAACATCAAGACGCAACGGTAACGGTGCTTCGCGGCGTTGACGTCCCCAAAACCGTGTTCTTGCACAGTTCACGGTTTTCAAACGATTGTCATTGGCTCCCAACGGGGAATTTCCGTCAACGAAAACGAACCTTGTAATGGCCTATGAAGAGGAAGCCGGGAGGGAGGGTTCATTGCATTATCGTTGATGAGTCTTGGGTTTACGATGGTTCTGTTCCTCTTCCTCCTCCTCCTCCTCCTTTTCCTCCTTCTCCACTGTCTCTCGCCAGCGCATCATAAAACGAATGAGCTCGATTTTCGCTCTCCTCTCCTAGCTCCGGTGATCCCTTCACTTGGATTTCATCGATGAGTGAACCTTTTGGCGTCGACGCTCGCCATGGCAAGTGATGCCCGGTACGTGCAGCAAGCTAGTCGATAGCGATACGCGCATGCTATATCGGAGGTTGGGGGGTGAGGTCGCAGTGAAACGGAGACCCCCCGCCGGGAAATCGGTTTCGGTTTCGTGTTCGTGTCGTGCGTGCGGGCGAGGCGAATCTGCGCGCGATCCTGCTGTAGCTAGGCCGAAGTAGGAGCGAAAGTCCATTTCCCGTCCGCCAGTGGCCAGGAGGTGTCCCAATTGGGCCGGGCGGTGTCCTGGGTGCCCCGGGTGCCAGTAGGAGCGAAAATCCGTTTCCCGTCCGCCGCTGGCGGGGAAATGTCCCAGTTGGGCCGGGCGGTGTCCCGGGTGTCCTGGGTGTCCCGGGCGTCCCGGCGCTAACGCATGTCGCTAATTTCAAATTCATCTATTTCGGCGCCTGCGGCGGGCTTTCTTATCCAATCCAGCTTATCTTATCCAATCCATCTTGTCCAGTCCAGTTCATCTTATCCTATCCAACCCAAACTGTCCCATCTTATCTTAACCCACCCAATCCAATCCACCCAACTCAATCCATCACTTCATTTGTTTCTGCGCCTGCGGCGGGCCAATCCAACCCATCTGATCTTATCCAATCCGTTTCTTCCAATCCAACCCATCTTATCTTATCCAATCCATCTTATCCCATCCAATCCAATCCACCCAACCCAATCCATCAATTCATGATTGTCGGCGCCTGCGGCGGGCTTTCTTATCCAATACAGCTTATCTGATCCAATCCAGCTTGTCCAATCCGATCCATCTTATCTTATATTATCTTACCCATCCTGTCCCATCTTACCTTATCCCACAATCCAATACATCAATTCCGAGAGAGACACAGAGAGAGAGAGAGAGAGACAGAGAGAAAGAGAGAGAGATGAGATCGAGGTGACAGGCTGGAGGTCAGTCAGGGTGGGCATTTGATCTCAATCCCCCCCCCACCTCCTTATCGCCTGCTGGGCGGTCGTATAGGTATATATATAGAGAGAGAGAGAGAGAGAGAGAGAGAGAACAAAAAGAGAGAGAGAGAGAGAGAGAGAGAGGGAGAGAGAGAGAGAGAGGGAGAGAGACAGATCGAGAGAGACAGGGAGGCACGCGCACCCCTTTTCCTGCCCGAGCGCGGCTACGCTCGGCCCTTACCAAAAAAAATACCTGGTGCTTGGCCCAACGCCCGCAAAAGGCGGGCGGACGGACTTTCCCTCAACGGAGGCCGAGGGCGCGGCGTCAACGCCTCCCCTCGCGGCGGGAACGGAGAGCCACCTCGCCTCTAACTTGCCAACGTTCCGTGTGCCTCGTCCGGAGAGGCGCCAGCCCTGAAAAGCAGCTTCGCAGCGCCTCCCGTCCGAGAAGTACCTACTCCTGCTACGGAGGTGACAGCGCAGTTTGGGACGCACGGGGACATACTAATACTGTATGTGCTATTTGGAGGCGCGCGTCCGACCAAAA